GCTCAGGCTGTTACTGGTGTAGTATTGGAGGACGGCTCCATCGTCTATGGCTCAGAGGTTGTTCTAGCGATGGGGGCGTGGTCTTGTGAGGCGGAGGTTTGGTAGGAAACAGCTGCAGTTGTCTTGACCATGGGATTCTGTAAGGCCTTCTTTACGAGGGAGAGTTGAGATGCCAATGAGTGGTATCAAGAGTAGCAGTCTGGTGTACAAGGAGACTGGAATGGCCGCAGTTTCTGACCCACACGCTCTTTTCTGGTAATGACCAGCGGGTCTCGGAAGCACTTCACTGGATCATCAGCTCCAATGACGCCAACGGTTGCCATCTTGAAGTGTACCCTCGACCGGATGGTGACATCTACGTCTGTGGACTGGGCGGATCCCCTCAGCTGCGACCCGATGATCTCAGATCTATTGATCCGAGTGGAGTACAGCCGGGGGCAAACAGGGTGGCTGCTGGCCACAAGGTGGGTTCAGGTCGTCAGATGTGAGTAGTAGAGGCGCGGTTGTCAGTCGCTCTCTGCCATGACATCTCTAGTCGATCCTGGTAAAGAGCCCGATATCAAGCAGGCCTGCCTTAGGCCGCTGCTACCGGATGCGTTGCCAGCTATGGGCCGGCTCTGTGAGGGGATCAACAACCTGTGAGTGCCAGTTTGGCGGTTGCTAGCATGTATGCAACCTTTCATGCAGATACATCGTGGCGGGCCATAACTGTTGGGGTATTCTCTGGTCCCTGGCTTCGGGAGAGGCAATGGCTGAGCTTATCGCTCATGGTACATCTGAGCACCTCAGTTTGAGTCCCTTCGATCCCACTAGATTCACATAGCCTTCATCATGACTACTGTTTCCTGTTGTGACCTACCGTTGTGTTGGAGACAACCAAGCCTTGCTCATACGCGACGTACGTCAATGACAGACCAAATCAAATATGTATTCCAGTGTAATGACAGTGCCAAATTTGTGACAACCCAAGCATGTTCCAAGATGGATGAATGGAGCGTGCTGCAGCGAGTGTGGCAGTCGGGCCACAGTCGGACTACTAGCCCGGGGCTGGTAGCAGTCTCAAGTCGGGAACAGCGAGTGAGGCTCCGGCATTCGCTCTAGATACTGGGCATACAGCTCAGGAACTGCTCTCCTCAAGGCGTACCTTACAAGTAGGAATCCCTAGCGCTCCCTCAATATGAAAAGTTATGAGGAAGCGCTCCTTGATTAAGGAGGGTGAAGATTCAAGAGTACCTCCACTCCCACCTGTTTATCGAATCGCTGGTTTTCTCATCGTCAGCGTTCTCCCTGCGCGCAGTGCGCGATGCTAAGACGTTATGTGGGACGCTGCCCAGAGATTCAGACGACCTCATCAAAAAGTCTACGCATAGAGGAGCTATATGATCTGTCCACTGACTTCGAC